GATCCGAGAGATACTTTGCCTCATCTGCCAGTGAGGTCCGGTGGGACGACCCCATTCCTCTGAGGAAGTGAGCCCCCCTCCTGACGTCAGATCTGCTGGTGCCTTTATCTTGGCCTTCCCAGTTCCCATATATATGAGAAATAAATTTATATGATTTATAAGCCACCCAATTTGTAGTATTTTTGTCACAGCAGCCTGAACAAACTAATACCGCTTCCTAGGGCTGCAGAACAAATCACCACAAACTTGACAGCCTAAAACAGCAGACATTTGCTCTCTCGCAGTTTTGAGGGGTGGGACTCCTGAATCAAGGTGTTAGCAAGGCCGTGCTCTCTCAGAAGGCTCTAGGGTAGGATCCTTCCCTGCCTGCTCTTAGCTTCTGGTGGTTGCCAGCAGGCCTTAGCACTCCTTGGCCTGTATTGCTCCCCTCCCTCCTGTCACCTCTCAGCTTCCTCTCGTGTGTATGTGTGTCTGTCCAAATTTCCCCCGTCTTATAAGGACAGTGGTCATTGCATTAGTGCCCACCTTAATCCAGTGTGACTTCATCTTAACTGATCACATCTGCAAAGACCCTATATCTAAGTAGGATCACATTCACAGGTGTTGGGATTTAGGACTTGAACATGTATTTCTAGTGGCCACCGACACAATTCAACTCTCAGCAATATTTTCTCCTCAGACTCCTACGTGGACGTTTGGAATGGCTCCACGTTCTGTGTGGCTTTGTTCAGGATGGCTTCCTTGGGCCTCCTCACTTTCACCTTCCTACCTATCTACCCTCTTTCCACCTATGGACATTCTATCTGTTCTTTAAAAGCTTTCTCATATGCATTTCTTACCTAATTCCTCTCCTAGTGCTACCGACCAAATGTGATTGCTTGCATTCTGCCCTTACTTTCCCATATATTAATTACATGTTTATAATTGCTTTCATTCCTCCAACTAGCAAGTAGGTTACTTGAAGGAAGAAAATAAGTTCTTACATATTTCTATAATTCCTTAGTAGTTTTGTGCTTTGCACGTAATAGAATCACAAAGTTAGAGAAAAATAGATGTTTTGAAAATACAGGGCTTATGTATTTTAAGTAGATTAACATAGGCAAAGCCTTAGTTTATGTTCTCTTCTGCTGATTTCTCTCTGCTTCAAACAGAGTATCTGATATGAGATCATTGCACAGGTAACCTAAACATCTAAGGCAGTGATTCTGACTGGCTCCAGCCGTCTTTGTGATCTTTGGAAAGGCAATTTGCCATGTCAGTTTGGCCAGTTAATAAAAGTGGAACTCACATGAAAAAAATCACAGATCAGAAGTGCCAAAAAAACAATTCTTGTTGAATATCATTCCAGTGCAATTTCTTAATTTTTTTTACCCCATCCTTACTTGGACCCACACTGAAATGAACATTAAAATCCTAATGATAAGAAAATAGTTTGAATGGCTTAATAAGGGATGTTATTAAAAATGAAAAGCCCAAGTCCATCATCTTTATTCTGCAGTCGTGGGTTTCAAAAGTGGTACGGTGTTACTAAAAGATCCTGCTATAGATTATGTCTTTATATATATATGGTTTCTACTTAGGTGTATGTGTGTATGTTATGTATTTATACATATACATATTTTTATTCCTATTTAATGTTGCAGATGTATTTAAATTACAAGTATGTTATGATGCATAATGAGGTGCATGATTTTCCTTTTTCCTTTGAACACATAATGAAATACTCCTTAGCCCTTCTTGGTAGACTTTCTCTGCAGGGGATGTGTCTTCATTCTTCCTGCCTAATATACATGCATGTATCTGCCCATGTGTTACACTGCATTTTATTTTAAAACGTCAACATTATGATAGATGATAAATTATCTCAGGGCTAGTGTTTGTATCTGTAATAATGATCTAACAAACAGTTCTTTATTGGTAAAATTCTTTTGGCACCACTTACCAAGTAGGTATGACAAATATATGCCCCATGTCCATACAATGAATAAATCAACTGCGACTAATTTGCTTAATAATGATTTTGGGGATAACAAGGATTTCTAGGGCCCAGAGATTTCCCACCTGTGACATTATTCCCTTTTAGTATTCAAGGATGATGCCCATGTTCAGATTCTTGTTTTGAGTAATAGTGATTATTGGCTGGTTTTCCGGAGCATGTTGTGCAGTGACATCAGCCACTTCCAAGTGCGGTTGTGAGCGTCTCTGAGGGAAGTTGGGTATCATAAGGACTGGCCTTGAATATTTTCATTAGCTCAGTCTTTAATTAGGACTTAAATTCGTTTTCTTACTGTGCTAGCTCTCCACAGATATGCTGTGCTTGTCCAGAAACTGACCAAGGTTTTTCACCTGTGGCTTCCAAAGCACATAATGGTCAGTGATGCTATATGCTAAGCTTCGGGTTTGGGGTTGCTTTTCTTTATTTCTGTCCTACAGAAGGGCACATAACAGGGGATAGCCTTTGGTTGGCAGCAAGGCCATTCTAGAGAACATCTTTAATAAAATTAAAGCTTCCAACTCCACTGATAAAATAAAAGTAACCAGAAAAGTACTTCTCCATGTTCACACCATCATAACCCCAAATCTGTGTCCGCATTTGCTACTGTCTGCATGGATGAATTTGGTTCTATCCAAGGCAAACCCTTCCACTTATATTCTAGACCATTCCATTCTCACCTACTCAGAGTTGCTCTAGTGAATGTTTCCTCTTTCTCAAAGACAAACATGATGCTATACTTCCCATCTTTAAGAAAACCTCTCTTGCACCTTATCTTTTTTCTTAGCTACCACCCTGTGTCTTGGCTTCCCTTGCAGCAGTACTTTTCAAGAGTCGGCTATACTCCTTTTTATCCTTTCTTATTTAAACCCACTACATTAGGCTTCAGTGTCTACCACTACTTGAAACTGCCACCAATCAGCCAACCAGTGACTTCCAAGTCGCTGCGCCCGTGACCACCCCCAGTCCTCATTTGAGTTGACTGTCAGCAACACTTGACATCGATAATCACTCCCTTCATCTTGAAGTTCTTTCTTCTTTGGCTGGCAGGACACCTGATTTTGCAGGTTTTGTTCCTTCCTCACTGGCCCAATTTTGTCTTCTTTGCTCATGTCTCTCTTCTCCCTAAGCTCTTCTGGGGTTCCTTGGATATCTCTTCTCTGTCCAAGCTCACTTTTAGGTGGTCTCATTCAGGCTCGTGATTTTAAATATCAGCCATATGCTAACAGCCCCTAAATGTATAGCCCCGGCCCCGATCTCTGTGCAGAACTCCTGACAAACATACCCAACAGCCTTGTCATCTCCTTTCGGATGATGTCTAAAGCTTCAAGTCTTGATTTTCTCCCTCTAAGTATGCTCCTTCTGCATTTTTCCTTAGTAAATTGCATTTCTAAACATCCACTCGGACAGGTCAATAATTTTGCAGTCTTCCCTAATTTCTCTCTTTTTCTCCACCCCAGATCCAATCATTAAACATATCACGGCAGTTTTACCTTCAAGAACTCACCACTTCTTTAAAAAAATGCTAAGACACCTAAATGATTATAATAATTATATCCTTGGAAATACATTTAGATTTTTACTAACACCTAGAAGTTGTAACAAGTTTCGTGACTATGGATGGTAATAAAAATCTGTGTAATTCATATTTAGTCAACACCAAAATATAAATATTACAAAGGAAATTATTTTCTTGAGTGAGTTATAAATTGTCCTGAAAGGCAATTTTGAAGTAGTAGTTTCAAAGGTGATTTGTTCTGGAACGACATCAATGGAATGACTGTCTAATTTGCCAAATTATCACAAGGATAACGTTTATTTGTTTTATAGTTTCTGTATTATTGTTTGAAATGTATAATCATAATTTGAGCTAATATACCTTACTTGTAATGCAAAGATATCTATTGGTCTGTAAACTGTTGATGAGAACACTGGCTCTGGAGCCATACTGAGTTACAGACTGCCTCTGTCATTTTCTAGCTATGTTATCATGGGCAAGTACATTAAATGCACCGTGCTTCAGTTTCCCCACCTGTAAAATGGGGATATTAAGAGTGCATACCCCAGGATTTCTTAGAAGGATTGAATGAGATCATGTTTAGGATGGTAACAGGCACAGAGTAAGAGACAGGAACTGGTACTAGAAGTACAGGAATTATATGGAGTGTTTTTATTACTCGAAGCTCTCAGGAACTTGAAGCGTAAATAGAATCTCTGACAGGTTAAAGACATTACAAAGCTCTGGGAATTTAATTGTTCAGGAGAGCAATGTATTAGTTATCTACAAAGTGAGAGAACTAGCTAACAAATGCCATAGACAGTCACATGAGAGAGCAAGATTACTTCTGTTAACAGCAGTTTAAGATGATTTAAGGTGAATTTTTTGTTTTTTAAATGCCCAGTTTCAATTACAATAAAACTGATCTTGACCCAGACAGCACCAGTTCTGACATATGAATATGTGGAAACCTAAGACTTTCGCACAGCTGCTAATGTAGATCTTTGATTAGGTGCCATAAGACAGGCTCTTCTGAAATATAGATACCTATTGATATGTATACAGGAAGTTGCCATTTCTGTAGGTACTGCTACCCACTGAAGTATCGCACTGTTGATCAAGTTGTTTATATGTGCATGTAGTTTATAGGAGTATTAATTGTATATCACTATAGGCTTTTCTTCTTCCTGGGACAATTACATGTTTAACAAAGATGTAAATTGAATCAACAAGTCTTACCCGAGTACTAACTCTGGGCAAGACACAGTCTCCTCATGCTAAGAACATAGTGATAAAAAATATAAGATTGATGTGGTAATAGCCGATCCTTGTAATTTTACTATTTATTGCCTTTCAGATAGATAGGCTTTCCTGAAATGTAATTAATTGCCATTAACCCCAGAACTGTGAAGCTGTGTGTACAAAGTAGACCAAGTAAGTTTAAAGTTTGACCCACGAAAGGGAGAAAAAAAGAGACCTTAAACCTTTTTCCCTTCTTTCTCCCTCCAGTTGGCCCGTCACAACAAGCTGTTACAGCAGATGCTCAAACCCGGATCGGATCCAGATGATGGAGATGAAGCCTTAAGGTATTATGCTAACCATACTGCACAAATCGAGGTAACTACCATTTCTTATAAGGGACCGACTTGAAAAGATATGTTGACTTTTAATTTCAGACCATTTTCTTAATTGTCTCCTAGAACAGTGAAGCAGAATTGAAAGACACAAACTGCTAAAGTACATACCACAGGATGAGTTGTGAGGAGTGTCAGTAAGAAACCAAGGGGCACATCTTTCAAAGTTGTCTTCATTTTTTTATCAGAACTATATATAAATTTTATTTTGGAATGAATGGGTTATCTCTTTTTGTTTTGTTTTGGTCATGGAAGCAACCATTGCAGGGCAATGATGTTTTAGGGAAAGGATCATCATAATGGAAGCTATCATTCGAGAAAACGTTTCTTTTTAAAAACTATAGAAGGCTTAACTAAAGTGGAGCTCATTGGTGACAAAGTGTTCAAAAGTATAGGAAACATGGAAGGCACTAATAAAGTTTTCATATCAGTACCATAAATTTGGAATGGTTCAACTGTTTCCATTTTTGATATGCAGCAATTAACTCCCCCAAGCCCCCAAATGAGACATTATTGAATGGCTGGTGGCAGTTCAGGGGGTTGTGGGTCAACCTTACCATTACGTGTTTTGAGAACCATGTGGCTGTCCTTGACTAGCTATGGTATCATTTTGACACTTGTTGGCAGAGCGAGTCAGGCTAAAATGAGCAGAGGAGTTGAAGCTTGTCACTAGTAATTGACAGTCATACATTCATTCATTCTGGCAGATAGTTTTTAGTTTTCAGCAGAATCCCTGCTGGACATCAATGCTACTCATTCTCGGGATATGTAGTCACTATACCTTGTTGTTTACTGGTGTCAAACTTATTCCAAGTGTCGTTATGTCCCATGACGGACCTTTTGCTTACACTGGTAAACAAACATTAATAGTACTGCAGCTTTGGTAAAGACTTGACCCTGTAAAACCCCAGCTGGCCCAGCAGCAAAGATATTGCTTACTGTATCAGGTGCCTAGGAACTGTTCCTAAGTAGAAATTGATCCAGTGGACCCTCGCACCCCTGATGTTCTGAGGAAGATGTGAAAGTACAAAGCTGGATGATTAGAGGGATCAGAAATAGCAGGTGGAATGGTCAGGCCGGAAGAAGAGTTTGGGGTAATACCTGTGTGTAAGAGGTGGGGCTTGTTGTTTGAAGTTGGATTTTTATTGCTTTCCTAGCCGTGAGGAGAGATTTCTCTGTAAATACACAAATCCACTAAATGTTTACAGACCACTTCCTCTCTACCAATTACATACACATATAGAAGATAATACTGTTTAGTAAGTGCATAAGCAAAGGACCAGGGAAATGTAGAGAAAACAGTAGTTAACTGTGCCTGGTGAATTTCAAGATAGAGAAGTTGCCATAAAGAATGTATTAAAGATTGAGTAGAAGTTTCTCTGTGCCAAAGATTGGGCACAGGATTTCAGGAAGAAGTAAAAAGGGAAGACGTGTAAGAACAAAAGAGCGGGATGATTCTTTTCACAAGATTACCTTAGTTGCTGTTCAGAGAAAGGGTTAGAACAGAGAATGGGGTAAGGAATGCAAGTAGAGCAGACAGAAAGTTACAACAGAAAAGGTGAAAGATGGTGGTATGGAAGATGACTAGGTTGGAGAAAAACATACGTGTGTGTGTGTGTGTGTGTGTGTGTGTGTGT